TAGCTTATTAGGTTGTGGAGTAATCTCTTCTGAAAGTAGATTTTTTTTTTTTAAATCTCGAAAATCTAGGGTTGTAGCCCAGAAGATCTACACGGAGGGGGGATGGCTCCAATACAAATGAAATAGACAAATATAGCATGCTTTTTTTTAATCGGCGCATAATCTCAAGCTAATATTGAATCCCGAGCAAGGCCGGTCACACTCAGCTAGTACAGCATGAGCATGAGCATGATTGACCACCCACGGTTGCTACTCTTTTATTGCCAGACCAGCTGTAATTACACAGAGAACCAAAAGACGATGCTTGGGACTAGCAATCATCCTCAATGTGTAAAAACTGGTGATCTCAAACTAGGCAATACCAGCGCCGGCCGCGCCCGAACACAGGTCAAGAAAGGAAGGGGTAGGAATGTGTTGACGTGACACTCGCTTTGATGGAAGCCGAGAACACCTCTGCACTTCCACGAGGAATCACTGGGATATTGGGTAATAGGTTTGGGTTTGCAGCAGGGTTCGTTTTGGTAAACGATAAGCTGAATTGATGTCCTAACACTCACACTCAGCTAGTACAGCATGAGCATGAGCATGATTGACCACCCACGGTTGCTACTCTTTTATTGCCAGACCAGCTGTAATTACACAGAGAACCAAAAGACGATGCTTGGGACTAGCAATCATCCTCAATGTGTAAAAACTGGTGATCTCAAACTAGGCAATACCAGCGCCGGCCGCGCCCGAACACAGGTCAAGAAAGGAAGGGGTAGGAATGTGTTGACGTGACACTCGCTTTGATGGAAGCCGAGAACACCTCTGCACTTCCACGAGGAATCACTGGGATATTGGGTAATAGGTTTGGGTTTGCAGCAGGGTTCGTTTTGGTAAACGATAAGCTGAATTGATGTCCTAACAATCATATAACGCGAAGAAGCTTGGGATTGAACCCACGGTCTTCTGCTCAGTAAGCAAAAACGTTTGCCACTAGGCAGACGAGCTCCTTTTTTTTTATCATCGAGTTGCTGTTATTACCATGTAGTCATGTTAACAAATAAACCGATTGACGAATCTTGAATGTGGATGGGCTTGAGATTAGACTCATGATGTTCCCAGTAAGCAAAACCGGTTGCTCTAAGGCCACCGAGCCCCTCATATCACATTATAGCGTTACTCAAGTTTTTTTTATGACTATTCAGACCCGGCACCGGCGACAACGAAAAGTTTTACGAAATACACGATAAACAAGCGATCTAACCATACATTTTTAATATGAAAGGATCTGGGACCGCGTTTTTCTGCTCAGTAAGCAAGCCACTGCAACCGACGATCTTTGAAATCCTTAAACTAAAAGCTATGAAAGAGGCCTTCATTGAGATCCATTTTCACGCGATGTTTCGATTTTCTCTTTACGCATTGTTCAGGTAATCATAACAAGCTATGACCGACGTGACGATTGTTTAGGACCTGGTTGAACAAGCTATTCAAATGAAATTACGTTCTCAAATTTTACTTGGCATGTAATGAACAACAGAAATACGCGAGAATTCATATTTTCAGCGGTTGGTGGTTAATTTTAAATATACTAACGGTACTGCCTACGACTATGACGGCGATTACGACAGCGACTACGACAACGACAACAGCGAATTTGTAACTTACCATTTGTCTAGGATAAACACCTTTGCCCAGCACCTCCACTGGTTCTCATGTCCGCTATCTGTCACTGTTTGCAAAATATCTAATAGCAATTACCTTCCAATACCAATACTTCCTGTATTGCCATGGTCATCTGGGAGGAGGGTCGCATCTAGTGCTTTCCCCAGGAACCGTTCACGGCCACCAGCTACTGCCCGTCCAGTCTTGGGCGTATCCAGCGAGGCATCCTTCAAGTGCCCATTACACATGTCAATATATTGACAAACATCGTATTGTCAATTTTCCTTACAATATTATCAATACATAAATATTGACAACATTGATGACAACATTGATGACAACACGCTAAAGCGCTCGTTACACGGGTCAATATATTGACAGTAAATTGACATACTGACAATATTATTGAAATCCCGCATAAACAATAACCATAAGAAGCGCCTAACCACCAATTCGGGATAACATCCCAACTTTATGTGGTATGGTCGTACCATCTATGATATCGTTAGTGTATGGTATCCGTTTATTAGGGATGGTAACATTGATGACGATGGATTGATGACGAGTTTCGTTGAAAACTGATTTTCATTTCAATTTGTCAATATTCTTCCCCTACCCAAGAGGAGAGAGAACGTATGTCATTTATATGGACTGACTCACACAGCACCTTCGCGCATGCAGTGTTGTTATTTGTTTTAATCTTCGTGTGTGATTTAAAATCAATTTCAAACTAAATAAAAAATGTATCTTTTTACACTCACCAATCACCCAGGCTTCGTTTATATGGATGTACATTTTCTACAAAATCACAAGCATAATCATGTTATTTTTTTACTTTAAAATAAAATAAATACTATCAACGTTTCACATATACCTACCCGTAACGAAAATTAATTGTTATATGCATGAATTTCATTTATGATTATTTACCAAAACATCAGCATGGTAGTTTCTATTTGGGAAAATGTGTACCGTGAACGTGTGGTAATTCCACGCACTCGGTAATCGATTTGATTAAATTCGATTAATTTCGAAGTATATGTCATGTTATCTGTTGTCCTGTGTATTTTCTGAGTCCTGTCAAACAGTTACAACATTTGGTAAACCAATTTGGTATTTGAATGACAAGTCCGCGGAATTACAGCTCACGCAGAATAACCCACGTTCATGGTACACAGCAAAAAAAAATGTAATATCGATCAATGTAATTCAAGCTGATGTATGAAATAATGATGTAATAGCAAAAAGCAGATATAATATTACATCAATGGATGTAATTTTGTTCGCAAAATCGATGTACATCGTACAACGTTATGTTACACAACCGATGGATTGACCTGGTTGCAGCAGTTTGGATGTAATATTCAACAACTTTTTTTTCAGTGTACATTCAATGTTAATAAATAAATTACATATTTTCTTAGTGAATTTCTAACCGTCACCAACAAACGAAGGCTGTCAACGAAACAAAAACACAACAATGCGAAACGATATGTTACGAACCAGGGTTGCCAGAAATGAAAATTCGATGGAAGATAAAGAAGATGAATTGTCAGTTCCGGACTCACCAGTCAAGACGAGGAGCAAAAATAAGCAGCTAGGAAGAAAGTGAAAAAAAATAATTTGAATTAACTGTATTTTCATATATTATTTTTCAGAGACGAACCAGCCAACGGCTGAAAGTCTCTTTAATAAAGAAATAAAAAAATATTTTCTTAGTTGACTTTAATAATCATCAATAGTAATTTTCCAGAAAGTATAAGAGGATTTTCATCACGATAAAACTAGTGTATTCTTATGATAAAACTAAGCATTATATGTATGGGTAACATTAGGTAAACATTTCAGTTCAGTGAGAGTTCAGTGATATCAAAAATAAAATTGGATGCTATAATTAATCACCTAGTTCTTACATAATTCTGAGAACATAATAATAGGCCTGGAATAGATTATTATTTAACACTATTTATTCTAAAATCCTGAAAATTAATTTAAAATCTGTAAGTAAATGTTGGGTGAAAATTGGTTTCTATATATGTCCAGGACTCCGCTGTTTGTTAATTTTTGTTCTGTTCGGTAAAAGTTTAAAAATCAGTGAAATTTTTTTAAAAATTTGGAAATATATTCCAAAAATGTACGGCTTAGTTAACCCCATTTAATGATACAAATCAAATTTTTTGATTTCCTTTGAGTAACGGTCATTAGAAATTTTTTTCCAATTTTTGCAGCTGTTCAAAAACCCGGCAAATTTTACCGACTTCGATAATCCGAATTCATTGTGCAGCTAGTATTTTCAATACATATATGTATACAAGTCCAGCAATCATTTCTGTTTGGACCCGAATGCAAACATTAACTCTAAACACACTTTCTTTCGCTGATCCATATTTCTTGTGTGGGGAAATTGAGACAAGTAATATTGACTTTAATAAATTGAGGTAAAAAGGCTTCTAACGTATTGCCATTAATGTTGTCAATATTCGAATATGATGATATTGATGGCAAAATTGACGGTTTTTTGTCAATACACTTTGAGTATTGACAAAGTGAAATTGAAATCAACTTTTCGTCAATACTTGGCACCAATCATCATCTTCAATATCACCTTTTCAATAATATTGTCAGTATGTCAATTTATTGTCAATATATTGATATGTGTAATGGCGCTTCGCTAGTTACAAGAAAAACACACCCGTGCAAAGAAACGGATCAAATAAACGTCACTCTCGCGAAAGCACACCAGTCGTCGTCGAACGGCAAAAAAAAGGAATCGGTGGGCAATTTTGTGATACGGATTTCCAAAATCAACCGGGAATGCACGAATTTCACCACACCCAACTACGAAACACGTTCAGAAGCACATTTGGTACACTTTCGTTTGAAAACACTTAATTTTTTTTCAAAAATAGTTGCGAGTGAACCAACATCATCACCGCGTAAATAAACTAAAATTAAAATTATCGCTCGCGATGCCACAAATTTCTGGACCGGGAGAAAAATCAAACAACGTAGATATCGTCAAATCTTCTGTTGCTTGCAAACATCATGAATCATGTTTTCTTTCTCGATTCTAAAACTTCTCGGAAAGCGAGAAAACCACCACTCACACACGTATAACCGTCCGGGAGGCAGAGTGCCAGCGCTAATGCGGCAAATGCAGCCGAGAACTATCGAGGCCGGTCACACTCAGCTAGTACATTATAAAAATTGAAATAGCATCGTAAGAAGAAGAAAAGGACATTCTTTACCATAGTTCTAAAATAAGTCAAACAGGTCTTGTTATATTTTATTGATTTTATTTTTGAATAAATTTTCATCTTTTTATTGATCGGCAGCGAACTACAAAACCAATACCTATGTATTACCAACAAACATTTTGGTTGTTTAAAAGCCATATTCAGACTTCAGTGTTTGTTGGATAGGTTGTTATTTATGTTATTAAAAAACCTTAGATAAATGAAAATAAAAATGTACTTATTTATATTTGATGAGTGGACAATAAGGCATTCACCTTTGCTGATACATGATGGCGTGGATAAATAAGAATTAATCTGCGGTGAACTCCTGGAATGTATCATATTTTTGCTTAGTTAATTCATGCTCTACGTTGACAAGCAGAAGGGTATGTGAATAACCCATAGACACTTGTGGTATTTTCATACCCTCCAAGCGAGATACTGTTTTCGGTGTTGCTGTTGATTTTATAAGATCGCCCAAACCCTAAAAATAAAAGTTTAAAATTTATTAGTTGAATTAATAAATTTCCCAACTTTATATTACAGTCGGTGGATGCTTGATTTTCCCACGCTATACGGTTGAGGTTCCCACTGACAAAAAGTTCGGTTTCGCACTGGGTTGGAACTGGTGTTAACCCCGATAATAAACTAATTAGCTATTAGAGCATGGGACAATTAAGCAGTCTCTATGACATTACTCCGAATGTCACAACCGCGGGCGCTGTTACCCCAAAAAGATAGGGAAATCGCTTCAATTAAAGTACAACAATTCAAACCGACGCAACTACTTTTAACGGAAAGTCTCGCGGAAAGCATACCTCAAAAAAAAATACGTTTTGATTTTACTAAAAAAAATCAGATTTTTCACCGATTATAAATAAAATTTACGACAATACACATTTTCTATGACATCGTGACACTTAAAAAACCTCAAAAATCGATCTTTCGGTTTTGTTTAGAGCCTTTTTTTTAATGACAAGATTTTTTTTTTTCCTTTGTTTGTTTTTTCCGTCGATCTTGTTTTCCGGGCTTAGCACCAATGCTACCGACGTGCCAGGAAGGCAGCTCCCACACCTGGACCCTACCTATCGACCCATCAACTCATGAACCAGGGACCAACGGCTTTACTTCCCATCCGAAGGAAGGCGTGATCAGAGATGTTATGCCTCAGAACATCCCGGCGGCACCGACTGGGATTGAACCCAGGCCTGCTGGGGTGAGAGGTAATCACGCTTACCACTACACCACCGACGCCGTTAATGATGAGATAGAAAACATGTTTTTGAAATGATTTTCTTAGATTTTGAATATCTTTCCAATAATTTTAGAAAAATCAAAAGGCGTCGGAACCATTTTTTTGCGTAGGCTTCTCCTTAATAGTGCCTCAATAATATTTAAATAATATATTATAAGGATATACTCATGTATACTTACCAATTCACCATATGTTGGAGAGGCTCCCCATGCAATAAGGGAATCATCGGCTGAAATAACAATTGATGTGTTTCCTGTGCCAATACTGGTAATATTCCAACCAGCTAAATCTTGAACGGGTTTCGGGTACATGTTGGCTTCGCCTGTTTTCTTATTCTGGCCAAACATATACAAGGCTCCAATGTCTGTGATAGCAAGGCTATACGAAGATCCGCAGAATACACGCAACACTTTACGGTTTTGAATGTCGAAGAATTTTATGAGCCTGAAAAATTTAATTCAGTATTTTATTTAGCATTGAAGTAAAGACTTCTTATCATATATTATAAATTGTATATATATATATATATATATATATATATATATATATATTAGACCTGTTCATTTAAACGAAATGTTCGAAATGTAACGGGTCAACCGTGATTACTGTTCGTCATGTTAATTTGAACTTTTGTGCAAATTTTCAGCAAAATCGGTGTTGATTTAGAGGTGCTTCTAGTTAATTTTGTTTTCAAGGTAATTTACGGCTTATAATATTTGTATCTCGAGACTGAAATAACGAAAGCTGCTGTAACAACTTTCATAGCAAAGCTTAATGTGTTATCTACCAACTTTGTGGTCAAAGGTTGACTATTCGAAGTGATTTTATTGAATTTTCACTTAGTTTCATGCTCGAAGATATCTTAAAATGTGAAGAATTTTAAAGTATTTGTTCTACGAATTTTCCACCCATATGATATAAAAATGTGTAGTGTACGGCAGTGTAGTGTTCCTCATATTGTTCTAGAAGTTCCGTTCCAACATAGTTTTCGTGTATATTTCATAGATTGAGAGATAAAAATCAGAAAAGAGACCGTTTAGCTAAAATTCACAAGACAACAGAACCAATAAAAGTCAATTAGATTGACAGAACATAGTTGCATTGCTTTTCAATGACGACCGATGACTGTTTCATTGATATATGATTTTTTCATAAATATGAATCCTCAGTAGACGTGTTTTTTTATCAAAGGCAAGTGTCACTCGAGCCATTCAAAATGTTCGTTATTTAATAAATTGCTATTTATGAAAAAATCATATATCAATGAAACAGTCATCGGTCGTCATTGAAAAGCAATGCAACTATGTTCTGTCAATCTAATTGACTTTTATTGGGTGAAAATTATCTTAATCAATAGTGAATATTGTCTAACACAAAGCATCTTACGAGGCCTTCAAAATGGATTTTTTATGCTATCTGTGCCTAATAAAATGAGTATTGAAACGTAAGTATTTATTTGGAATATATCTAGGCGCTGTACATTATGAAATTTAATGATTTTCAATTGCTTAATTTCAGATATACAAGGAAGTGGCCGAGCACAAAGTGTTCCAGGAATGGATGGCAAGAAGGAACTTCGGAAGCAAAAGCAACACATTGCACAGCAGGGACAGTGGATGCCAAGTACACGGACAGAAAATTGTTTGCATTGAACCAAAAAAAATTTTAATTGTATTTAAGCAAACAATTCCAGTTGAAATTATATTGCTTTTTGTTGTTTCAATAATACTTATTCATATAAATTCAAAATAGGATTCTTTTTGTTTTAATCACCCACTTTTCAAATGCAACTATTGTAAAAATAACAATATTCTATTATTAAGCCAACAATAGTTAATTTTAATTTAGCATTTATTTGCTGTGTCCATTCTCTGGGCCATGAAAGCAAAAATAACTACCAACCATTCCCTCGTTTTCACCCGGACAAAAATTTAAACAATAAAAATACTTACGCGTTCCACGTAAGTATTGTTTTTAATTGTAAATTTCGGGAAATAAGTGCGAGATTTTCGAAAATCTTGAGACTTGAGTTAAGTAAGTATGCTGCAATTCGAGCTGCAGTTGATAAATATAATCAATTTTTCTGTTTTTTTTTCCTTTATTTTTTTCCGTCGATCTTGTTTTCCGTACTGAGTACCAATGCTCCCGACGCCAGGAAGGCAGCTCCCACATCTGGACCCTAAATATCGACCCATCAACTCATGAACCGGGGGCAGAAATTCAATTACAATTTCTGCAATTTTGTTTCAAAATGAAAACGAAACATAAAAAAAAATTGCCATATTATTTTTACATCAATAAACACATTTTTATTTCTACTGCGTGAATTGTCAGATTGAATCAACAAGAAATCTCTTTTATAGCGAATTTGTTTATTATCGGGGTTGAAACCAGTTCCAACCCAGTGCGAAACCGAACTTTTTGTCAGTGCGAACCTCAACCTGAGTTAGGTTTTAAAAACAAACGATCAAACTGACGTTTGTCAGAGAACAAGCAGACCCGATCTTGATACCCGATCCAGGTTGGAACTGAATAATAAACAAATTCGCTATTAAAAACAAACATATTTTTGTTGTTGACCCAGCTGCCAAATTTGACAGCTTACGTCAAAACCATGAAAGCTCTTGTAAATTCTAAAAGATTTTCTTTTTGATTTAACAATCCATGGGTTTTTAGAAACAAAAATACTGGTTTGTTGAAACAATAATGATTTCTTTTTGCAGCCAAAACAAAATGAATTTCTTATTGATTTTACGTCAAATATTATTACTTTTAAAATATTTTTTTCTGCGTGTAGGAAAGCGGTATGATCTTTCTAGGAGCACAAGAAGACTCTGCGGATGTAAGTGGCTGATGTATGAACCTCGCTGGAAGCGGCAATCATTATGCATTATTACAATAATTATTATCTAAATTAATAAAAACAAGTTTTTAATGTTATATCCCGTTCACATTACAGCCTATATCACGTAATATAGGCTGTCTTGCAATGAGCACTCATACAGAGGATTTCCAGTGAAAACTAGATGTATGAGTGCTCATTACAAGACAGCATATATCACGTGATATACGCTGTAATGTGAACGGGGTATTAATGTTTCCGACATTTCAAAGAAATATGTGAAAAATCAAATTAAAATTAATTTATAAATAGCTCAATCATCGAAAATGTATACTTTTTACCCATTTTCTAAAACTTTTCATTGTGTTTTTATTGGATTTTTTTTTTACCGTCTCTCATTGGTGGAAAAATGGCAGCACAGCGAACAAAAAAGAAACGATTAGTTGTTAATCGAGTAATTGAAAAATGGGACACCACTGATTTTGGTGGCAGGGGGCAGCAAAACCACAAAATTACTTTGAATACGGGGGGTATTCATTGGATGAAAGAGGACACTAAAATAGAAAGTTTTTCTTCCGACAGTTTCATCTTAGTATTCATCTTTGGTATCATTGTGCTTGCCACACAATATACAAATTTAATATACAATTCAATCAAAGCTCGTGCAATCGTGCTCCGGCAAAGGATTTCTGGACAGGCGTTTTGGGACGTACGATCTCCTGTCGCGCCGAGGCATCCGTTAGCGTGTCCGTGTCGGAACCGATGAACTCTTTGATGGACTGCACTACCATCGATTTTCGACGCTGTTTTTTGTTCAACTTCACACGATAGTTGAATTCGAACACGGTCGATGATCCGGTGGAGAATACTTCTCCGGGGAACTCAACGATTCGATCTTTTCCGAGCTGAGCTTCTCGAGCCTACGACCGGTTTGGCTCGAAGCAACTTTTCGACGGAAGTTCCTCGTGGCAGTCGAATCTGTTTAACCAGTTCCTCCAGACTGATTGCTTTGCCATTCAAAGAAACCAATGAGGAAGAACTATATGAAGTCGTGGACAGCCGTCGCTTCGATGTTAGTTTCTTTCGTTTTGGGACTACATTGGAATCGCTGTCGTCACTGTCTATTGCGGTTTGTCTGTTCTGAAATTTGCGATTGGTCGTCGATGCAACCGACTTTGAACCAACCGGTGAACACTCGTGTTTATTTCAGTTACCGTGAGGACGTAATTTGTGATTAGCACCGGTCCCTTTCAAATTGTATCATTATTTATGTACGGTCCTTATATTTTAAACGAAGTTTCACATTCATCTAATGATGACCGATTTTCTTACGAATTATTGATAAATCGATTAACGAACCGAGAAGTAAAATATTTGTAATCGGTTATATCGTGCCGATATAAGGATTAACATCTCCAGAGGATCATCACCGATCGTTTCAAACATGTGATGCACTCTCATTGGTGGAAAAATGACAGCACAGCGAACAAAAAAGAAACGATTAGTTGTTAATCGAGTAATTAAAAAATGGGACACCTCTGATGTAGGTGTGTTTGTTTTGATAAAAATGAGCGCAAAATTTCATCTCTACCGAAGGGGCAGCAAAACCACAAAATTACCTTGAATACAGGGGGGTATTCATTGGATGAAAGGGACCGTGAAAGAGGACACTAAAATAGAAAGTTTTTCTTCCGACAGTTTCATCTTAGTATTTATCTTTGTTTGAACTGTCCGCTTCTGAATCATCCGGTTTAATCTAGATCGGCCCCTAGAACTCCCTTCTCTGCTACCGTTACCGGCTTCCACCAGTCTTACTGCTTCCGCTCTTCGGGAAGCCTCGTCTAGCTTAAAAACTGCTTCCGGCTGCTCATCACCAACAATCAAGTGCAAACATAGTTCTTCGAGGGAACCTCCACGGATAGAAATCTCCTTATACCTTTTGGCAAATTTCTATTGCTGATTATTCATTAAATGTATAAGTCAACTTATTAGAAGACGCCTTGCAAAAAGTTAATGAAGATGAACGACTGGCAACTCTTCCATTTTCTCATAATAACGCTATGAGACAGGCAAAATCGCGTCATCCTCCGCTCTAAGGTAAATGCTTCGAACGAATTGGATAGCAAAGATTACATCCTCAGAAGGGAGGTTTGTGTATTTGCTCAATTTTCTAGGCGTTGCTTCCACCTTTGCTCGAGCGCAGCTCTACTGTGACTGTCGCTTAGATTCAGGCAATGTTGCCAGTCTTCTTGATATGATGTCTTTGCTTTTATGCATTCTTATAGGACCTATATGAATAAAATAATTGATTTTCGTTTCGTGTCCATGCACTAATCATGACGACAAGTCTAACCGCACGTTGCACACAGGATCAGATCCCAACGCTTGCAATCGTCGTAATCACGCCCAAGGTGACTACATAAAGGTGTTCTAATGTGTCAAATTCATGATTCAGCCATGCTGGATTTTTGTATGGGACAGCGATCGAGTTTGATTACAATTTGCTCTAAAACCGAGTCTAAAACCGCACTTTTCCCCCCCATGAGCTCCTCGCCAATATAGTGACAAAGCTCTATCACCATGTATATGCCCACCATGATCA